TCACAGTGCCTCCCAGAGGCACTGTTCTGATAGATGGCATGGGATGTGAAGGTGGTCTTTTTCTCCAAGGTGACTGAAGTTTTGTCTGTATGAGTTAATTTTTCCAACTAAAAGAATAAATGCAGTTTTCTAAATGTATGTATGCATGTATGTGTGTGTGTGTGTGTGTGTGTGTGTATGTGAGCTGTATAGCCAACATTACACTCAATGCATTCTCACTAAAATCAGGAATGAGACAAGGGTGTCCATCTCCTCCATTCTTATTTAGTACAGTGTTTGAAGTCTTAGGGCAATGGGCGAAAGCAAAAGTGAAAAACATATACAAACAGGAGAGGAATGAGTTATGTTATCAGTACTTCAGATGACACAACCCTATACTGAAGAGATCTCAATGGCTTCACCAGAAAATTTTTTTTTTTTTTTTAGTTTGTTAACATTTTTAGTAAGGTAGCAGAACATGACACCAGCACACAAAGCTCAGTAGACTGAAGTTGTGAGAGGGCTCCGTGCGTAAAGCTTACCATATAAGCCTGGCGACTTGAGTAAAAGGCTAGAGGTAGTGGTGAGCATCTGAAATGCCTGCACTGTTATGGTGATATAGGAGGGGAAGTGAGGAGAGTCTGCTAGAAGTTTGTGGGCCACCTGGTCTGGCATCTGCAGTGCTGCAAAGACAGGGAGAAACCTCACCTCAATGAGGGGCAAGGCAAGAACCAGCGCCTCTAACCTCCAGATTTGCACCATGGCACTCAGGCCCCCATAGTCATACACATACAAACACACACTTTAAAAATTAATACTTTTCTACACCAATAGTTACTTTGCCAAAAAAAAAGAAGTCAAGTACAAATCCAATCCACAACAGACTTTTTTTTAAAAACAGCAAAATAACTTAGGAATAAATCTAGTAAAGGAAAAATGTCTTGGTTACTTTTATATTGCTGTGAAGAGATATCCTGACCAAAGCAACTTATAAAAGAAAGCATTTAATTGGGGGCTTGCTTACAGTTTCAGGGGGTGAGTCCATGACTACCATGGCAGGAAGTAAGACCATGGGCAGGCAGACAAGCATGGTGCTACAGCAGTAGCTGAGAGCTTGCATCTGATCGACAAGCAGGAGACAGAGAGGGCTAACTGAAATGGTGTAAGCTTTTGAAACCTCAAAGCCTACCTCCAGTGACATATCTCCAACAAGGCCACACTTCCTCATCCTCATCATTGAGTTCTACCAGTCTGGGGACCAAACATTCAGACATATGAACCTGTAGGGCCCTTCCCATTTAAGCCACCACAGGAAGTAAATGGCCTTTAATGAAAACTTTAAAACATTGAAGAAAGTATTTTTTAAAAAAATATTAGAAATTGTGAAGCTCCCTCCAATTCCAAGCTCACTCCCAGGTTGGGATAATTGATATTTGAAATGATTATATAACAGAAACAATGTGTAGATTCCATCCAATGCTCATCAAAATTCTAATGACATTCTTAAATAACTAGAATTCATAACCCTGAAAAACGCATGGAAGCATAAAAGATTTTAAGAAACCAAAGCAGTTGCAAACAAAACACCTGATTTCAAACTATGCAACAGAGACATAGTAACAACAACAACAAAAAAAAAAGGATGATACTGAAAAATAGGCATATAAACCAGAGGAATAGAAGGGAGGATCCAGAAATAATTCAAAGTACTTAATTTGATTCCCAACAAAAGTGCTCAAAAAGCATATATGGAACAAAGACAGCCTCTTCAACAAATTGTTCTGGAAAAACTGAGTATTCTTTGTAGCTAGAGTTTTCCTGCCTTGCCCACAGTCAGGACAAATCTCTGTCACCTGCCAGTCCCACAGCTGCTCAGACCCAACCAAGTAAACACAGAGACTTATATTGCTTACAAACTGTATGGCCATGGCAGGCTTCTTGCTAACTGTTCTTATATCTTAAATTAATCCATTTCTATAAATCTATACCTTGCCACGTGGCTCGTGGCTTACCGATGTCTTCACTTGCTGCTTGTCATGATGGTGGCTGGCAGTGTCTCTCTCCGCCTTCCTGTTCTCTCAATTCTCCTCTTTGTTACTGCCTATACTTCCTGCCTGGCCACTGGCCAATCAGTGTTTTATTTATTGACCAATCAGAATATTTGACATACAGACCATCCCACAGCACTATGAAGAAAAATGAAACTAGACCCATAAAGTCTTACTCTCTGGGAAGAACAAAGCAAAACAACAACAACAACAAAGGAAAACAACAACTCAAAAGGGAGTCCTTAGTGTAAGACCTGAAACTTTGAAACTGTTAGTTTCTGAAAAATATTTCAAAACTACGACGGTCAATAATTCTAAGAACTGACAAATGAGATTGCATGGTTGCAAAGTTTCTGCATAGCACAGAAAAAAACAATAAGCATAGTGGTGAGAGCCTACAGAGAAGAGAAAATCTTCAACTATGGTTTTGAAGGAATTAATATTTAAATTTTCTACTAAATCCAATTAAAGACTGAAAGAACAAAAATTTCAGTTTTCAAATGAGCAAATTGAGCACATAGTTCTCAAAAACAAGCACAAATGACGAATAAATATAAGAAAAAATATGTTCAATATCCTTAGCTATGAAGGAAATGCAAATTAAAACTAAGATTCCATATCACCACAAGAAGAATGGCTGTCATCAAGAAAATATAATAAATGTTGGTTAAGATGTGGAAAAAGAGAAACCTTCATACACTCCTGGCAGAAATGAAAATTGTCACAGCCACTATGGCAATCAGTATGTATTTTCCTAAAACACCAACACAAGCCAACAACAACAACAACAACAACAAAAAACCTTAGCAGAACTATAATATAATTCAACTACCAATCCTGGTTATATACTCTAGTTAGTCTCTAAGTCAGCTAGAATGCCTGGTCATATGCATAAGAATTGGCCGAGCATTTATAATTAATTATAAATAATATTATAAATTAAGCCTCTTTGTGGTTATTTGGGAGCAGCAGATGGCAGGACACAGAAACTTCTGCCTACACATGAATGAGGAATTCAACATGCTACAGAAATACTTGCATGTTCAGGTTTGTTCACAGCATTCAAACAAAGGGATCAGGCTAGATTGCCACTAAGAAGAATAGATAATGGATACACACACACACACACACACACACACACACACACACAGTGGAACCTTAGTCAGCCCCAAGGAAGAGAAGAATGAAATTATGTCATTTGCAGGAAAGAGATGCAACTGAATATGCAATTTATACATTTGGCTTTGGGGTCACCCAGAATATATCCTGAAAAACATCACGAAGAGACTTGTGTAACTGTTCCTGTATTAAAACAAGACAGAAAAATGTCTACCCAATGATCTTGTAGGTTTGTCTCAAGAGCCTCCCACTGAGGAGGCTGAAACCTGGTTTCTCTCAGCCGAGTAGGAAAAGGTATGGACAAAGAGAGGTAACTCAGGCAAGAATGTTCAGTTTGCAAATAGAACTGAGAAGAAAGAATTAAGTCCAGGCTTTCAGTTGTCCTTGCTATTTCAGTACAAACACCAGACATTGTCAGATGAGGACACAGGAATCTTATCCTGATAAAAACTTTATTCTCTGGAAATACATGTGTTGTGTATCATGGGGACCACCACCAACTTTTCAGATACCACAAATATATAAATATATGTAATTATAAGTAAATATACAATAAATACAACAGAACTACAATCTGACAACAGCATTAGATCACATGCCCAGAGGCCCAGGGCTCAGGGCCCTAGTGCTCAGAATACACTCATTGGCAGCGACAAAACTGAGGCCCAGGGCTCAGGGCCCCAGTGCTTGGAATACATTCATTGTCAACACTGAGGCGCGACTGTAAAAAGCACCCTCATTTTATTTTCAAATAAACCTTTCTTTAAAAAAAAGTATTTAGGTGGCTTAGGAAGCATTTTCTCTATGACATTGTTCGGTAGAGGACAGCTAAGAGCATTAAGCGACTAGAGATCTCAGAAAGCCTCTGTTGGAGGGCCACTCCCTAGATATAACCCTGTGTACAACGTGACTGTTGACTCATTTTGAAAGGGGAAAAATATACTCAAAAGGTTACATTTCTCTAACAGACTTCACATCAAATTCCTGTTTTCCATTTGTTGATTTTGCATTCTGATGGTTATTTCTGGCATTATTTTATCAGTAGTCAGGATGAAGATAGGTGTTATCCACGCTTCTGGTTCTGGAGGGTATGGGACTCAGCAGCTCCATAGAAATTAGAGCTACCCGAAGGTCTGCACTCTGTATTTTCTATACCTCCAAAGAGGATAAAACTTAATAAGCCTTCATTATGAATATTTAACAATCTGCCTCTTTACCAAATCAATTCTCTTCATTCACTGTGTCATCTCTACTGCATGTATTGATTCTCTCCACCCATTATGAGATGCTTACCCTGGTCTTGACACAGAAGTAGAATATGTTAGTCAACATTGTGAAGAAAATAAATGGGGAACAAAGAATGTGACACAGACCATACAGAAATTTGACTTTCTCAAATTAATCATGGTTCACAGCTGATGAAATATGACAGTGACTGATTGTCCATCTGAGACACAATCTGGGAACTTC